GATAGTCTTTAAATCAATGAGCAACTTATTAATTTACTCTTAACCAATTTATTAGGTTTTGCTGACAGGAGTTGAAGTTCTATCTTCATCTTCTTCTTCCATAATTGGCTAAACTTAATTTTTACTATTTCCCCAAACTGACTAAAATATGTTATAAAGATTACCATTCGGAATGCCATTTATTGTATTTTGATAGCATTTGAGAATAATTCTGATCAAATCAGTTTAAGTGAACACTCCATCATAATAAGCTACATCTGGATTCCAAAACAATACTTCATCAATATGCGTCTCAATAAAGACATTGAAAACATCAAACAAAGAGAATGACTAATCAATTACACTAACTAAATTATTGATAGATAAGCAATCATAAAGTGTGCTGTCTTATAAAAAACATGTTAAAGTCTTCATGTATTAATCTTTTATGATGTCCTCTTTACTTTACATTCTTTTCAACATTTATAATTATTTAAAAATGATAATAATATTTATTCAAAAATCATCTTCTTCCATAATGGTCATCATTGTTATACCCAAATTGATCTTATTATTAATAGTACTTTTGAATTTTGTGATTTGAATCAATTAACATTTTTTGTTTTTCATTCCATTATTCGATAGCTTTATGTCTTGTGACTGGATTTTCTCTGTCATAATCTGTATCAAATCCCAAACTTCCTTCATCATATGACTTAATCTATAATTAAATTAGAAATAATTTTATACCTCTTCATTATTTACTACAGGGAATAAATATTCTGAGATATCTTCCATTGGTAAAGAAGCATATATTATAGCAATCACCATCAACAAAACATCAATCTAACTTATCTCCTTGAAAAATGCATAAGTCATGATCATTTCTCCAAAGGCACTCCATACAATTATGTATTCCAACATTTCAATCATCTCTAACAAATTTAAAATGATCCTTACCTGTTGATAATTAAATGCTAATTGATTCCTTCACTGTTCTCCTTCTTAAAATGTTATAATAGTCAACATAATAGTAAATCAGAATTCCAAAAGCACTACAAACTGTACCCAAAGGAATTGCAGTACCATATAGGAAAGTAAACCACATTGTTTTCATAATATCTGAGTATCTTTTGGCTGACAAATAGTCTGGTTCTTCCATTAATTTATTTGCTTCTTATTAAGTTAATAAGGCTTTATCTCCCTTTCTTACAATATACCATCTCCAAATGTTTTTACATAAACTCCATGGATCTACACACCATATAAATGGAGGTAATACAGCATTCAGAATAAAAATCTAACTTTCGTTTTATAAGAACCCTCCAGCTCCTTCCACATTCTTTAAAATTACAATATCCACCAAAAAACTAATGATAGCTGCATTTAAGAATAATGCTAATGCATATTTGTATACAAATGATATTTGAAATTTAGTTTTACTTGAAATTTTTTCATCATCTACAATATAATGTACTATTTTAGCAACTGCAAATTTATTAAATAGAACAATGCTCAATGATATTACAAAAGATAGTATGTTTATTTTTAACATTGTATCATGATCTAATTTTCCTTATATTTCTTCTTCTCTTGCCTCATCTCCATATTTAGCCACTTTATGTGCTATAAGATATATTGAATAGAATGCTGCACTTTCAACTAATAAATAAATTATCCAAGCCTTAACTCTCTTGCTTATTTTTTCTTCAGTCTTAACATGAATAAATTCCCAATCAACTTCATTAGGTTCTGGAGCTTATTCAATAAATAATTTTTGATCATGCCATGATAAATCATTTTCAGACAATCCTTCTAATTTACCTTTATTCCAATATGACTTCATTCTCTCAAACTATGTATGTTAATTTTCTTGCAACACTAAATTTTTCATATTTTCATCATCAAATGATATGAATGCTATACCAGCAAATTTTTTATTTTCTCTTTCATACTCTTTCTCTGTCAAATGTATTTTATGTTCTAGCTCTTTAATTTTTTAATCCATCTCCAAAACCTTTGGATGATTAAAATTATAATTATATTCTTTTATAATATCTTTCTTTCTATCCACTAATTCATCTAGTTGCTTTTCCATCTCAATAATTTCTTCAATATCATAAACCAAAACAACCTTTTTTACTACTATAGGTTTTGTATCTGATATAACTGCACAAGTCTCAAACATATGTTTCAATTCCCATTTATAATCTAATCCTAATCCTAAAGGAATATTCTTGACACAAACTGTATAATCAGCAGGTGTCAAAAGTTCTTCATCTATAGTTGTATCTATCTATCTCTAGCTTTTTCTAAAATAAATAAGGACAATCATAACAATAAATAAGTTTATAAAGTTTAAGATTTGAACATACTCTAAAGCTTAACGATTACTAATTATTAAAATATATAAATTACTCTAATTTATTTGCTAAAGATAATTTTAAGAATAATGAATCAGAACAGTTTGGTAATTCTACAAAGTGTCCTTCTATTTTTTCTCTTTTTACATGACTACAATATGATCCTTCATAACTTGTATAGAGATTATAAATCTGTTTAGTTATCAAAGTAATGAACAAGATTATTATGCAATATTTGAGATAATTGTAAAATAATGTGAATCCAGAACCTAGAAATGATAATGCCATAGGATTTGAACAATATGGGATTTCATCTCTCTCTACTTCAAAACCACAACAAGGACATGTTTCAACTGATTAATATTGATTATAAATATACCATTTGTAGTTTTATTAATGTCTTTCTTTTTTTCTAAGGCTGTTCTTCTTGATTAAGCATGCTTTCTAGCCAATTCCCAATTACATGGCATAGTAAGAGGATGATAATGTTATCCTTTAGAGGAATGTTAATGAAGATCATTATTAGTCTAATTAATTTCATGAGGTTATTAATAATTGATCTCTTCAATCCTGGAAACTGGTAATTATGATACTCTAGATTAATTATGCTAATTCTGTTATTATTAATTCAAAGTCTATAACAAATTAATATAGAATAGATTACCTAACTTTTGACATTAGAGTTGAATTAACTTGGAGCAACTCCCATAAAGTGTTGGAAATTAGAAGTAGGATTAGTTTAACTGTTGTATTTCATATTTATTTTGAATAATAAATACAATATAGTTAATAATTTTTATTAAAGTAAATTTTATCATAAAATATTTTATTATGTAGCCATAAAATTAGTTTTCATTATTTGGAAATGTGCAAGTTAATGAAGCTGAATAAAATAGTGAAGTCAAGAAAAAAAGAGAAGAATTTGCAACAGAAATCAGGTCCAGGGAAAGAAATAATATAATAAACAATAAAAGATTAGCTTAAAATGTAGTTCATATTGATTATTCATTTTAGAATTAAACAACCAAAATTCCTGAATCATTACCCTTAATACCACCCACTCTTCCATAAGATTTACAAATAGCCTTAAAAGCTTAGTAAGAACAACTCATGAAAAGATCTTTTTCCTTTGAAGATTTTCCTGATGTTCTACAAAAGATCTTTTCGACTGATATTTTGTAATTACATTATGGAGTGACAGGATTAAGAAAGATGTTGTCAGTTGAAGTAAGAAATATATTCTAATATTAAAGTCAGGCGCGCCAATTTAATAGGTTATCGACGCAAATTTAGTACCAAAATTAATTGACATGATCTAAAAAGAACAAATACCTCAACTTGTTCTTGAAGCAGCTTGGGCTTTAACAAATGTAGCAAGTGGAACAACATAACAAACCTAATCTATCATTGACAAAGGAGGAATATATTTATTTGTTAAACTCTTGAGTTCATAATATAGAGATATTGCTGAATAAGCAGTATGGGCTATAGGTAATATTGCTGGAGATTGTACATAATACAGAGATCTTATATTAAGAGTTGGTGGAGTGGATCCATTGATAGCCATTATGCAAAATGCTCCAAATAAAAATACAATTAAACATTGCACTTGGTCACTAAGTAATCTTTGTAGAGGAAAACCAATTCCTGATTTTAAGGTTTACATTATATTTTATCTATAAATAGTATGTCAAAAATGCCTTACCTGTATTTTGCAAAGTCATAATAGATGAAACTGACCCAGAAGTTTTGACTGATGCTTGTTGGGCCTTATCTTATTTAAGTGATGGAGATAACAGTAGATTATAAACTGTTATTGATTCTTAAGTAGTCCCAACTCTAATTAAATTGCTTGATCATTCATCTCTTCAACTTGTTATTCCTACTTTAAGGATATTAGGAAATGTTGTTACTGGAGATGAAACTTAAACTACATATGTTCTAAATTAAGGTTTATTACTTAAAATACCTAAGTTACTCTCTCATGACAAAAAGGCTATCAGAAGAGAAGTAATTTTATATCTTATCATAGGCTTGTTGGACAATTTCTAACATTACTGCAGGAAGTAGCAATCAGGTTAGTTAAGTTGTTAGAGATTCTGCAATATTAGAGAAGCTATTTACATTGATGACAACAGATGTCGAAGAAATTGTAAGGGAAGCCACTTGGGCAATTTCCAATTCAACTAAACATGGAAGCAATTCAGACATTTAATTGTTAGTTTAAAAAGGATTACTTAATGTATTTAAATAGCTCTTAGAAGGAGAAGACACATAAACTATGACTGTGGTTCTTGAAGCCTTATTAAACGTTTTAAAGAGAGGTATTTTGTACTTTTTTTGAGTTTAGGTGATTAAGATTTTAAAGATGACAATTATTACTTAACCTAATTGGAATAAATGGGTGTCATTTCAAAGATCGAATAATTACAAAAGCATTAGAATCAAAGTGTTTATCAAAAATGTTTTAACATTCTAGAATAATATTACGAAGCCGAATCAGAATTATGATATATATGTTAAAATAATTAATATAGATTTATTAATTATAAACATTTCAAATAAACTATGACTACATCTATGATTTTTTTTGTCTTTTTTTCTATCATACTTCTATTTATAATCATCGCTTATTAACCAGTTACACCAAAAAAGAAATCAATCATATTGGAACCTAGTTATATTGAATTTCTTTAATAATGGATAATCTTTAATATGTTAATCAAAAAACATAAAATTACGAGCACCAAATAAGGTCAAGATTGCTGGTTCAGTTTCTAGATTAATTAGTTTAAAAGAATTAGAAAAAATCAGCTAATGATGGATCAAATCTTATATTAAAACAAACTCATCAGTCACTTTCAATCCCACAACCTTTTAGTAAGAAATATGTTAAGTAACTATTTGATAAACTTCTATATTCTTGTCATACAAATATTCAATAATCAAATATCGAAATAATTCTTTATAAACAACAAATACATTTCTACATTTTTTTGTATCAACTGCAACAACTCCTTCCTTTCTTTGTATTTCTGGTCTTACTTTGTATTTGAATTCTCCATCATGTATATCTGTTACCAATTCAATTAATCCTATCAAAAATCCAACATAAACATTTGAAATTCATCATTATCATTCTAAATTTCAATAAAGTGAAACAATTTTGTAAAATCTGGAAACAACCTTATCAAATCTATTGTTATTTCGAATCTAACATCATATGATGATACTCTATCAACATCAATTCCCTCTATACCTACACTACTATAAACATAGCCAAAATATTCTTTGTTAAGTCCTGATGAAGCATTGTATAAAGCACATTAAAAAATTTTTCGGTAGTCGAACAAAGACATTTAAATATAATTTATAAGTATGAGATATTAGATAAATGTTATAATTAACTCTTTTATCATAAAATTCCCAATTTATGGATTAGTAAAGAAATTTACTATAAATTATAAACTTTTTTCATTTGATATTATCTTCTTATAAGATCTAATATGTAAGTACTGTACAAATTCAAGTGTTTTTAATTTGCATCCATTTCATACATACTAAGAAATTATGCACTATTTGGATATAGAACTAACACTAAATTGTTAGTCTTTAGATATAAAATTTGAGGGATTAATTAACAGAATTTGTGGATTCTTGATTTACTATAACTATCATATTTCTTAGAGTGATGTTGATCAAAATTGATAAAAATAAAATTCATTAAATTATCTAATCTTAATAAAATATATAAAGTTTGAATTAAGAAATATTAATAGACTATACTTATTTATAAATAATTAAATAATTACAGAAGATGTTATTTAATATGTTTATAAATACAAGACAATTTAATTAACTTATGTAGACTTCTTTTCAATTATTGGTAATCATGATCCACAATTATCATCTTGTTTGAATTCTATTGCAATATCTAATAATGATCTAACCTTTAATGAAACTAAAAAATTAATTAACATTGTTGCCAATAGTTAAAGATTTCTAAAAGTTTAAGAGTAGGTTTTGAGAATTTATAAGAAACTTTAGATTTTCAGACTTTAATTAAGTGATCAATAATCTAAATAAAAGTGATTTAAAGTCGAAACACTTATATTTAATGATTGATGCTCAGAAATTCGAGATGTAACTATGATATTTAAAAACTTATCATAATATATTACTGATTAATAAAAGAACCTAAGTTAGAAGAGTTGAGAGAACTAAAATTGTTATATCGGGGTAAATAATTTAAAATTTTTGGTGAAATTGCCAGTTGTATCACCTTCATAACTAAATTTTTAGTTAAGTAATACAACATGTTTAAAAATTTTAAATATCAAATATAACTGCATCTTACATACACATTAGAATTCATTAGTTTTTATCTTAATTAATATGATTAATCTAAAGAGTACAAAAGATTATTATTTAAAATTTTCTTAAGTTTAAGTAGAAAAAACATGATTTATTACAGCATTCAATAATTTAATAAAACAAATTTAATTTTAAGAAGGAATAAATAGACTTTTCTTTTAGTTGATCATAATTATAATTTATTTAAAATATATTTAAGTTTTTCTTTACACCATCAACATTTTTTTTGTTCTTTCTATAAGAGATATGCTCTTTAGATTACTTCACTTAAATTAATAGCTTATTTCTCCAAATTTTACAAAATCAATAAAATTTATCCAAAATCTCCTATAATTAAATCTTCCCTTAATTATATCAAAAAGGAAATAGCTAAATATTATAAAAATTCCTCTCTATTATTTTTCTAGCAAAACAAACAGTCCCAAATGCGTAACGAATCATCTATGTGAAAATCTTAAGCGAACAAAATCATAAACCATTTTACATAAAGGATAGAAAAATCCATCTTTTAATTTACTAAATGATCATGCAATTTCCAATCTACTTTTTTTAATAAATCCTAAAATGCCCTTACTTTTTCCTTTTAAAGCTAAAAGTTGTTTTTCAAACTTGTCATCAATATCATAAAACAGTAAAATGCATCACTCTCATTCTGTAATTTCTCATTTGGATCACTTATACACATATAAAGACTAAATCTATTTAGCATTACATTAATGCAGCAAATTCATTCATTCCTTAGACATAATCCATTTTATTTAATTTACAACACAAAAATAAAATCCTATTTAACATCTCTCTATACTCTTCTTTTCCCAATTCTTTCGCTCTTGTTCTAATTACATCCTTCTAGATTTTAGACCATAATTATTAATCCTAAAAATGATTATTCCAATCAGAATCTGTATTTCTAGATAGAGGATGATCATTCTTTTTTTGAGGAGGAGCTTTCTTAATATTCTCTTTTTTTATTTTTTCATAATTATCTTTATTCTTAATGATCACCTAAGTCCAATATTTTCTATTCAAAGGGAAATACCTTCAAAAAGTAAATTTTTTACCCCAACAATAATCTCCAAATTATTCCTCTCAATCTACTAGTTTAATTTGTAAATCCTTATTGGCACAACTTTATCAATCCATCTTCATCCACAATTTCATTTCTCAGAATATTTTATACATCTTTTATTAGTTATTAATAATCATTTGAAATTCCTTCAAGGTTTTAAGACAGACTTTCGATATCAAAATCCTAGTTTTACATAAACTAATATATATTTTTAATAATATATAATTTATATCATTTTTCTTGGTACATTGGATCAACTTAGTTTCTGCCAATAGATTTTTATTCTTTATTTGACTATTAGTATTGTGAATACTCATATAATTTTGGTTGATTTGTGTATTAATTTTATGATTAAAATAATTATGAATTTGAACTATTAACTTGCTATTGTTGCTGTTATTATGGTAAATTCTGTTATTATTATGATTATTGATATTGTTATAACGTATTTGGAAGATTGGGTTGTTAGACATAATTCATTGTTTAGCATTTTGTGCATTTGATTAAATTGGATACTAATTTTATTTTTATATATTACATCCGCATTGGTACATGACTGTAATTTTGCAGGATCCACATTGAAAATAACCAAAATTAGGTTTATTAATTTGTTAACATCTATAGCACATAAATGGTTGTTTTTCATCTTATATCATCTATGGAGTTTTACAATGAATGCAAGTTGAATAAGCTTGACTTTTGTTGACATAATAATTACGTTCTTTGATTAATACTCTTGTCAATGAGTATTGCTGTTTATTAGAATACATTAGAAACAGGATTATATATTTAGTTTAAAGGCTAAGAATATTATTGATTTTGATATGGATTATATTGATATTAACTATACTAATTCTAAATTATCTAAATTTTAAATACTTGGTATTAGTTTATTTGGGTTTGTTACTGTTGATACTGAATTTATGATTGTTTTGGAAACTATTACTGTTGATAAGCCTATTATTAATTCTAATTTTTTTAAAACTCTGACTAACTTTATGTATTATTTTAAGGAGGAACAATTGGTTATTCAATTTATTTTGGTTAAATAACTTCAGCATGTTGTACTTCTAAGAGGTAATAAATAAAGTTTACTAGCATCATCTAATGAGACATATTCCTAATCATCTCCTTAATCTTAAATTTCAAAATCATCATTATTTTATTTCGGTTCTTTATATCTAGAATTAGATTTGTTGGATAGCAATCCCAAATTTGCATCATTTTAGTTCATCTAATATGATTATAAGAATATTTTATAATTAATTTATAATATATCTAAATATTCCAATGTTCTGATTATATTCTATATTCAGTATAAAATATCTAAAATTTTCATAAAAATCAAAGATTAGATTAAACAAACATCTTAAATAGTTTAAAAGTAAAACAAAAACAAATTTAATTAAACATATTTCACTTTTGAAGTTTGCTTTCTATATATAAAAGTCCTGATTAATTATATTTTTAGTATATAAGTAAGTCTTCATGTCTCTAAATAATTTATAAAAATATTTACTTAGATGATTTTATCTTGGATAGTGTCACTAAATTTAAAATCAAGCATAATAAATTTTGCTGCATATTTGATAACTTCTATTAGATCTACAAGATTGAAACCAAAACTAAATTAAACAAATTCAGTAAATAACTTATTAAATGATTTCTAAGCTATGAATTAAATAAAGGATTACAATCAACAAGTATAAATTTACGAGTCTTAGGAATTTCATAATATATTTATTCTTTAGTAAATTGTTAATATTCTATAGCCAAGATCAAATACATAAATGATGCTACTAAGGTTCTTGATTTATAATTCAAAGTTTAAATATCCAAATAACAACAATCAATATATGCCTGCAATTTTAACATTACTTATAATAAAAATATAATGAATTACATTTATAAGAAGCTGTGTTATTGGCTCTGAATTTTTTTTGAACATCTGTAATAAAATTATCCCATTAATTAGTATAGAATTCAATCCATAGATTAATTGTAGGTAGATTCAAATGCCATTACAATACAGTACAAACATCTATCTCCATTTGATAAATTTAATCAATAGTATAACCATGATTGGCTGCTTTTTCAAACTCACTAACATGTTTTGCCTCTACTTCCTCAAATATAAAAAATAAATATACTTCCATTTTAGATGCAATAAGCATTGAGGCTGTACCCAATAATTATACATCTACTTTTGGAATAGATTTTTTAGATAAATAGCTATCAACATATGCCACAGCTAAATAATAAGTATCTCTTTTCATGTGATAGACTGAACAAACATCAATCATCCAATCCATTAAAATAGCCCTGACTTTTGGACTTATTTGTGTTTGAATAGAAACCATATAATCAGGATTTGGAAAGTATTCAATTTCTTAAAGCATGAGCGCTTATAAAGTTTCAGAAGAAAATCCACCAATTTATGAATCTTTATCATCTTCGTTTTAAATAAAAGTTTAATTCATTTAAATGTTTTTTGATTTTGTTGAATTTGCATTATCACTTAATATTGTTATGCTAGATTCATCACATTCTAGTGTGAGTCCTAAATGTTTTTATTCTCCCATTGATATACATCTAGTATTTTTTTTATGTTTCAATAAATTGTTATTAGGACTTTATTTTTTAATAGTTCTTTCACTTAGTTAATTAGAGGAATTATCTTAAATTAAAAATTTAGGAATATTTAATTTTTCTATTTGTTTTACTTCTCTTTGAGAATTACAACTATATACATACACATTATTATTTACTTATCACAATTAGAATAATTAGAATTGGATGTATTGTTATTAGTATTTTTAATTTAAGGGATATTAGAAATCATAAAATATGTTCCTGAATTACCTTAAACAACATGACTGTATTGTCTATGATTTTTTTTGAATTATGTTTTATTATTGCTATCAATGGAATTATTTCTTGAGACATTTTATTAATTGAGAAAGGATTCAAAAGTAACTTAGGGATTTTAGTAATCTTTTCTTTCCCATACAGCTGAATCTTTTAAATTATTATCTTCATTCAGTTTTGGCTTATGTAAGATTAGTTGTAAACTTGGTTAAGCAACTTTTGTTAAGGTTGAATTAGAAGTATGTTAAGGAATGTTAATTTAAAATGGAATACAACTAGATTATTTTTTATTTCTTTTATATTTTATTTCTTCAGGTTTTGGATTTACCTAAAATAATGATCAAAATTACTTGAATCTAAATTTTATTATGCTATAATATAGATTTTGAATATTGAGGAGGCTATTAGGAATTCTAATCAAATCTTACAAAGGAAATATTCTAATTTGATTGTATGCATTACATTCAATTATTGATAATTTTCTTTTGGTATGAAATAGGGATTCCAAGAGGTAGTCATTTTCAAATTTAAATATAAAATATTGATTAAACATATAAATTAATACTAGTCAATGGGAAAATGGTTATAAATTTCTAATTGAAATTGAGCGCCTATCAGTAAATTTTTTATTTGAATGTGGAGAACCATCTAATTTTGAAGATGATTTCATTTCATCTTTACTTTCTTCTACATAATCAAAATCTTTGATTAATTCAGAAGTCTCTTCATTCAATCTTTAAGAAAATAACATTTATTCTTTATTAATTTTATTAAGATTTTTAGCAGATATTTATTTAATGATAGGTTTAGGTATAAAAGATTTAATATTATAAGAAAGACTGGCAACTTATTCTCTAATTTTAGTCATTCTATCAGTATAATTTTACTACTTTGTTTTGACATTTTAATTAATAGTTGATAATTATAAAGGATTTGTTTTAAGATGATTAGATATATTGACTTACCTTCTATTTCTAAAGGCAATCATAGAATCGATTTCTAGAATCTAAAATTCAGCACTAAGAAAACCAGTTTCATTATAGCCTCCAAAAATCATTAGTTTATGATCATCCACAACAGCACAATGACCAGCTCTACCTTCTTTATACTCTAAATCTACAATGCTCCAAGATTAGGTTTCAATTTTAAAAATGTGACAATCATTTAAGAAAGTAGATGATTCACTTATGCCACCATAAATAATAATAATTCCCTATCTTTCACAATAAGAAGCAGTATGTTTATATCTTGAAACTAATATTTAATTTCAATTAATTTTACTTGGTAATTTTCCTTTACTAGAAACTAAAGACCATTACATAGGACGAGTACAAGGATTCAGCATATATAAACCAGAATACAATGTTCCATTTTTAGATTCTCCTCCAAACAAATATACTCCTTCTACTTTATATTTAATTTCCTTCATTTCTTCAGGATCCATATAGTTTTTATATACTTAAACATTTCTTGAACTACTAAAAACAGAGATAAGTGTATGAAAAGCAATCCCATTATTAAAGAAATCATTCTATTCAACTTAACTTAAAATCATTTTATTGTTCAAAATATCATAGTGATATAAATCACTTAAATATTTACCTTTAGTATTGATACCTGCATGAATAATAATATGTTTTCCTACAATAGCACCAGATGCTCCTCTTCTTCCTTCAATTACTTCTCCTCCAAATCTTAATGCTTTAAATTCATTATTTTCTAATTTTATATATTTGTCAAATTACCTGTATTAAACATTCTAAAATCATTAGTGCTTTCCCTTATCTTCTGTTAACCATCATAAGGTTTCTCACCACCAAATATATATATATTCCTTCTATAAACACAATAAATATGATTTGTTCTACCAAAAGGAGCCTTTTCTCCAATTACTTGAGGTTAGAACCATTCTTTATGATCCCAAATAACAACATCATTAAATGGTTAACTACTTATTCCTCCAAATAAATATAATTTTCCAGATATATTATTCAAAGAAGCTCCTTCTCTCATTTAAGGTCTCCATTTTCCATAAAAAGAATCTATCCATCCTAAATAGTGAGTAGGTATTGTAAATTCTTCTTCAGGTTGATGAACTTATATAACTTTTGCTTTTATTGCTGGCATAATTTATCCTTCTTCATCAATTTTTGCAGGATATGTTTTTATTTTTGGTAACTTATTATAATTATAAGATCTTGATCTAGCAAATGTTGTTCTCATTATATTTTGCTTTTATAACTCTTCTTAGTATTTTAATTATGTCTTATTATGATCCAATTAAAATGCAATCTAATCTTTTAAACAACTATCATTCAAAATTGATT